ATGAAAAGTATAGCACAGGGCATAGAGTCAACAATGTTGTAATAAGGTTGTACAGTGGCAGATGGTGACTGCACTTATGGTGAGGACTGGGTAATGTACAGAATTGTTCAATCATGTTGCACACTGGAAACTAGTGTGTGTCAACTCTACTTCAGTGCTAGGGATGTTTAAAAATCATGGTGCAGACTGGCGTGACCAAAGAGGGGTTCTTTGTGGAGGGGAGGTACAAGCGGAGACCTAGCAGGCTTGAGAATGACCATCTTCCCAAGGGAGAATGGGTATTTCAGCCAGAGACCAGCAGGTCCTGAGGAAGGACCAGGGTTGGCAAGTCCTGGGGATGGAAACGCCAGTGTCACCGTTGGATGCATATCTGAAGGAGGAACTTGGAGAGGGTGGCGGGAATTTCAGCTTTACGTGGGAATGGAAGCTCCTGGAAGATCGGGAGCAGGTGACACGATCTGATGGACACTTGAAAAAGACACCTGTGGCTCTGGTGTGCCGATCAGCCTGCAGTGACAGTGGACACAGGGAGATGCGGGAGGAGGCTGCAGCTGGGCACACAGAGCCTGGTTTCATCACATGAAAGGGGAAAGCGCCCGGTAATTTGCAATGTCCTGTAGAAAGATCAGCAACTGCTATATGCCGGGCTCTTTCCTGCTGGAGTACTCATGTGTGGCTCAAATATGCGCATAAATACGAACCACTGCACTGGGAAACTGATGGGGGAGTGCATGAGCCTAAATTCAGGGGATAAAAGTTTCCAAATCTGATCTCCTTTATTAACTGGTAGCCTTGGTCAAGGTCTTTTGTCTTTCTAGCTTTCATTTCTCTCTGTAAAAGTGGAATGGTAAGAATACAGACCTCATAAAGATGTCGTGAGTCTTCAGTGGGACAATCTATGGAAAGAATTTAGCCTAGTACCTCTCGGCACCCAAATTGGCACTCAGACGTATTAGCTACCTACCAATCCCTCTGAACTTTACTTTCTTTTTCAATGAAAGCTCATAAAAAGTTTGTGAAGTTATACTGGGATGAGGTCTGAAAAAACCCCTATCCAACACTATGTAGCAGTCAGTAGGAGCTCAGCACACAGGAGTATCCAAATAGAGTGTCAAAGCTGGAGACACTGTTGCGGTCTCTCTGACTGATGACAGGAGAGTCCTGAAGACAGAAAACGTTTCACATTCTAGAGGTCAGACTTACAGTTCTACTCTTAGGATATAAAACCAGATTCTTCTCTACCTAATTCTAGGGACTTCAGAGGTTTACCATTTCAATGTACCCTGCTCTCCCTCACATGAAAACGAATGTCTCTTCATCCTCACCAGAGCTCAGACTTTCACTACACATGCTCCCGGGGCAGGAAACATAAATGTTGCAGAAATATCAGTTTTGAGTTAGTGTCTGCTTCTTCCCTGGGTTTCCACTGCGGAATTCAAAATCTGTAATTATCATCAAGGATGAAAACCACAACAAAGCCCGGATGAAAAGGACGGCTTCGAAGTTGTGTCTATAGAGAGGCTGGAGAGGAGAGCCTTACTCCCTGAACTTCATAACCAATTCAATTAAACGGAAAGACACTCTCTAGTAAATGGCTCCAAATTCCAAAAAAGCAATGATTCTGTCTCTGCTCTTTAGATGCCTGACACAGTGCCTTGATCTGGTGAGGGAGCTCAGAAGTATGGAAAGTATGGAGGAGGAACTGAATATATGTTCAACAAGGGCATCAATGAGACCACAACTCACAGGGGTCTGTCGCTCTTGCTGCTTCTGCAGAGTCCTGCTGTCTGAATGTCGGTGTCCCTCCCACCAGCCCCAAATTCGTACGTTGAAACCTAATCCTCAGTGTGGTGGTGTTTGGAGGTAGGACCTTTAGGAGATGATAAGGGATGGGTGCCTTTCTAAGAGGCTCCAGAGAATTCCTCACCCCTTTCCCACCCTGTGAGGACACAGGAAAGATCATCCCACACCAGATCCCCAATGTGCCTGGGCCCTAGCTTGGACTTCCCAGTCTCCAGAATCATGAGAAATGGATCAGGCCGTTCACAAGTCGCCCAGTTTGCAGTGCGTGTGTTACACGCCCTGAAGGACCGTGAGGAGCACCTACCTCCCTGTGGCCTCCTGGGGGAGTCGGAGGGATGTTCTCTTCACAGCGGGTCCTGCAGGAGGTAGGAAAGTCAGCAGCCATGAAAGAAGAGTAGTTTGTAAAGCATCTTACCTCCTCACATCCCTCCAACAGGGGTTATCGGCATCAACTTGGCAGTTTTCTGAAGTACCCAAAGAAAGGCCCCTACGCAGTCCAGATTTAGTGATTCAGAGACCTGGCGATCCCGATGCGGATGTGGCCCCGAGGGAGAACTGCTGTTTGAGAGGCTGTCGGGGAGAGGAGCATGGCACCCAGGTTGTGTGCCCAAATCCCTCCTGCTCCCCGGCAGATATCATTAGTTGGTTAGTGCATTACATCTGTACTCACTTAAAATCCTTTAAAAAATAAAACTTGAAAAACTTTTTGGTAAACATGCATGACATGACATTTACCATTTTACGTGTTACAAGGAGTATAGTTCAGTGGCGTAAAGTACAGTCACACTATCAACCAAGTATCACCATCCCCCCATCTCCAGAACCTTCTCATCTTCCCCTGCTGAAACCCAATACACATTGATTCCTCATTTTCCCCTTCCTCCAGCCACTGACAACCACCGTTCTACTTTCTGTCTCTAGGAGCTGGACTATTGTAGGTATCTCATAGTAGTAGAATCACACAGGAGTAGTCCTTTCACTTTCACCCAAGCTAAAGCATGTGAGAGAACTTCCTTCCTTTTGAGCACTGAACAACATCCTATTCCATGCACAGACCACATTCTGTTTGGCCATTCATCTACGGATGGACACTTGTGTTGTTTCCACCTGTTGGTGTTCATGAACAATGCTAAGAACTGGGGTGCGCAAAATAATCTGTTCAAGTCCCTTGACTTGGCTCCCTTCGGGTATACACCCAGAATGGGGACCTGCTGGCTCACAGAGTCATCTTTGGAAGAACTGCTAGACTGTTCTGCAGAGGACGCACCATTTTACACCGTCGCCAGCAAGGAGGGTTTCACGGCGTCCGCATCCTCGCCGACACTTGTCATTGGCTGCTTTTGAGAGTTGCCACCCTAATGCCTGTGCCGGCATCCGGCATCCTCGGCCAAACACGTGCGGCCATTACCATTACCATTACAAAGGAGATGAAAGCCATTTGTTCTTTCTCAACTGTGATCATGAGATTTCTATGCTTTTCGAAGTGAAATGAGACCGCGGACGTACCAGGTAGGGATGTGGTCAGCATGATCGGGGTTGTAGAGATGGCCGGTGGTCTAAAACACTGGGGTGGGGGAGAAAGGACACCAGGGGTGCTGGTCCGGAAATGGCCGTGTGGTGGAGGCGAGGCCAGAGAGGGGCTCTGCATGAAGCCCTGGGGGAATCGGAGACCAAGCCCAGGCACACCACCAAATGCACTAAGGAGGAACATAGCAGATGCGCTGTCCCCACATCCTGCCTCCAGTGTCAGTGGGGATTCTTTTCCTTCTCTTTATTCTGTTTATGTCCCTCTACCCTTTACTGCTCTATTGTCTATGAATCCTTGCTTTGGAAAATCCACGTTCTATTAAAAAAGGGTGGGGGGAAGGGGTTGGAACATGTACACTAAATGTCCATTATTTGTTTACATGTGGATGAACTCTCCCTGCAAACACACACCTAAACTAAGCATAGCGGCTGCTTGTGGCCGGAGCGGGAGTGGGAATACAGGAGACAGGGTGGGAGATTTTCCTTTTCTATAGATCCTTTCATATGCTACTACATGTTTAACTGTGGAAATATAGTCCGTCGTCTTTCCAATGTCCATTCCCGAACTTCACCGACCAGGAAGTTCCAGCCCCTTCCAGACTCCCTTGAAGATGGGCATTGATACAAGATTCTAATGGACGTGTGTTCATGAGATAAGAGTAGAAGATGGAAGTAGGTGAACACCATCTTCCCACTGCGTAGGGCTGTAGTTGTGGGCAAGCAAGGCCATGGGGGTTCAGAGGCAATGGTGGTGTAGGTGGAATCAGTTGGACACTGTTCCAGGCCCAGGCCCCAGCTTCCTGGGTACCGCTATGAGGCATTTAAGGTGGTCGCAGTGACTTCCTGAATTCCTGAACTTGTTGGTAGCTGGATCATAGGTGCAGTGGTGTTTTTTTTTCTTTATCTCAGCAGCTCCAGGAGCAGCCTCCTAATTCCTCCTGAATTCAGCCTCCCTGAATTCCTGCTTAAGGCAGAGGCTGTAGCTCTCCTGGCAGGTAGAGTACCAGATGTTGCTGGAGGATTCCAGAAGTCACTCCTGAATTACCTCCTAGGAGTTCACTCTCCTCATCCTTCCAAAAGATTCTACAAGCATCCAGTTTCTTATAAGTCTATTCTGCTTGAAATACCTACTGTGGCCTCTATTTCCTATAATGGAATTGAAATGGAATACGAAATTACATATTAAAAATTATTAAATAATAAATAAAAGTCATCGCTAAAAAAAAAATCCTCAGAAGAGATTTCCTGAGCAGCGTGCCTCCAAAAATGCTTGTTTTTTATATTTAAAAAAATTCCTGGGGTGCCTGGGTCCCTCAGTTGGTAAAGCATCTGCCTTGAGCTCAGGTCATGATCTCTGGGTCCTGGGATCAAGTCCCTCGTCGGGCTCCCTGCTCAGCGGGGAGCCTGCTTCTCCCTGTTTGTGCTCTCTCTCTCCCTCTCTGTCAGATACATAAATAAAATCTTTTAAAAAATCCTGCCCTCTTTGTAAGTCATCACCTATTGAATGAGTACCTATTAGCTTAAAGATGAGGTAACTTAATACTTAGATTAGAAATAAGCTCCTATGAGTATGTGAGAAGTTGTGTGTGTGTGTGTGTGTGTGTGTGTGTATAAAAAGACAAGACATAATTTGTGTTTCCAATAAAATCCTAGAAGACAAATTCAAACAATTCTTGTTCTTTGTTTTTATTTAACTCAAAATAGCTAACAACAAAACATTTAAAAAATATCTCCCACACATGAGTATTCAGTTATTTTTGGTTCATGACACTAGATTACAGAGTCCTTGCCTGTTTCTAGCATGAAGTAACACATCTATCATAAACGTTATCTCTCAAAGTCCGCAGCAGGCTTGAAACCCGTATATTTAGATCCTAACCAAAAACCATGATTTAGTTATTCATTTTGAACCCAAATATTTTTCTCCCACACAGATGCTTAGTAAAATGAATAACCATAAATAGGCTAACTATTAATCAGTTTTCGATGAAATGCCCCCATACAGCACATACTTATATAAAGTCTGTATATATGCTTTTGTCCTTTACTACTGAAAATATGAATGTCAGTGAGATGTACAGTGGGGTCAGCTCATTCGTTGAACTTACATCAATTCCACATAGGAGGTCAGCGAAAAGGAAACAATAAGGAAAATAACAATGAATCCCATGAAAATCTCACCAGTTGAATGAAAGAGTAAACCCTGATGAGGGTGGAAGAACCTTGAGGAAACCAAGTGCTACCACTGTGGCATCTCCTCAGGTAAAGTTAGTTCACGTCGGTCTCTCAGAAGACAAGCATCCTGGAGGGCGCAGGGTGACTGATTCTAGTGTTGAAAGGTATGCAGTTCTAGGCAACATGGCCCTAAACGAACACTGACAACGTCAAATGGTCTTCAATGGAAGAAACTGTCCTTTCTTCCAATACCGGAGGAAAACCTGGTTGTGTCGGATGTGCAGATTTCCAATATGGTGTCTTTTGAAACGGCTGTCAAGGAGGCGTTCTCCACGTTCCATTTCATCTTAGGTCCTGACACTAGAAGCTAAGCCCCAGGTATGAAGCAACTCCACTGCCGTGTGAATCGCAATAACAAGAGTCTTAAAAATGCCCTAACGTCGTCAGCATAGTTTAATTTCCAGTTTAGTTCCGTCCTCACACCGAACACAGGCTGTTTCTGTGACCCTCCCGTGGAATGTACCTATCACTGACCGAGAAAAATCTCATGATGAAAAGACCAGTGTCCTAAAAATCTGAACAACAACAAAAAAAGCTACCAAAGCAGATTGGTCTCAGCCATGCTTCCCGATAAGATGTTCAATCAGCAAACAGTGCAACTAAAGCAGAGTAACTTCTGTTTTGTTACACTTGCCCCTCCCCGCCACCGCCTACAATTTCGAAACTGGCAGTTACCTTCTACGTCTCAAACACTTGGCCTTAACCTCAGCACCGCCCAGGTTCAGGTTCTATTTTTAAAAGCACCATTCTAATGGAAATGTCCCTGCCCTGCCTTAAGCTGAGGCTGTGAATTTGACTGTGAGCTAGAGCTGTTATGTCATAGAGTTTAGGTTAATTTGGCAGATATCGATTTCCGTGAAACCCGCTTCAGCTTCTTCTAGCCATGGAGGATTTCTACCTGGGCTGTAGATGGGGGTAAAATACCCCATGGAGGACCCCTTCAATAACCACATTTGGAAAATCTGAAAAAAAAAAAAAAAAAAAAAAAAAGGAAAACAGCTTTTCTTAGGCACAGCAGTAAAACGCAACGACCGCATTCTGCAGACCAGTACAGGGTGAGGCCCCCAGCAACTCGGGGACCCGAGTCACCCTGCAGCCTGCTCTTGCTGAGGACACGCTATCTGTCATGTCGCCGCGGCCGAAAGCCGCTTGGGTGCGCGACCAGGCTCTCCAGGAATGCACGGCCAGATTTGTAGCTTATTGATTTAGGGGATGTTCTAATGGTTAATGCTGCTAGGCCCCAGCTCTTTATCTGAATGTTTTCTCACACGGAAGATGGATTACACTGGCAATTCAATTTCTAACAAAATCTCAATATACTTGAAGGAATTCCAAGATTTCTACTGGGAATACTTGGCTGCAGTTTTTCCACTGTGGTTTACAGCAGCGTTCAGTCCAAGCTGTCCTGAGGACGGTCATTCCGTGGCGCACGCGTCCAGGGAGCAGGAGGAATGGGGGTGGTCTTCCTAACTGAAAAGGGCACACTTCTGAAGAAAGCCATCCTCGTCAGGAAAAATACGAATGGATACTTTGCACAGGGGACCCCCCAACCATCACATGACCCAGAGGTTCAATTTCTCAACTTCAATCTGCAGGTAATTAATTCTATCTAGGATTTACATGAAAGCCCACCACTTTCAATAAATATCGTTATTATGCAAGGAAATTAGGTGGTCCAATACTTGCAGACAGAAACTAGGACACTCACTTATGAACCCAACCTCTGTACAGTGCCTACTACATAAAGCCATGTACAAAGGGAGGGCAGAAAGTTTCTCGGGGGAGCAAGCCAGGCGGCCAGTCTGAGGGAGGAGGGAGCCAGGAAAGTTCAAAGACTGGAATGGAGGTTAGTGTTGATAAGAGAGTGAGGGAGGAAGCCTGAGGGCATGCAAGCCCAGAAATTCTGGCTTTGTCTGAAAAGCAGGGAGAACCACCAGCAACCCCCCCCACACACACACACAGGATTTTAAGCAAAGTGACAGAGAACTGAATCCTGTTTGGCAAAGATGGCTCTGGCTGCCACTCAGAATACATGGAGACAAGTTCAAAGTGGTGGTGGGTTCCCTGTGAGGAGTAAAGGGAAGTTTCCTAGCAGTACCTGCCTGAAAGGTGGTTGTACAAATTGGAGGGTGAAGCAAAGCACTTGAACCTGTGCTGGGCATATGGTTAGTACTTGCTACCGTCACGTACCAAGTACTGTCTAATCACTGGGAAGAGAAGTAAGTAATAGTCCCTGCCCATACCATGGAATTTCCACGCTAGGAGGGAGATAAGCAAATGAACACACACACAAGATATGCCTAAAACATATCTTCAGTACACAAGCAGCTCAATGACTTCTGGGTGATGATGCTCGATTTCTTAGTTGTTTGCTTTAATCCAGCATGAAACAACATAATTTTCCATACAATGTATCTTTAATAATCTGTAGCAGGACTTAAACCTATATATTTTTTTCAACCCAATTAAGAGCAATGATTTTCCAAAGTTCATTTTAATTTTAAAAGAATTTCTCCCCCACAGAAGTGTACTGAAACCAAGAGCCGTCAATGGAGATATTGATCAATTTTCAATTAGATGCCCAAAGAGAACACGTCGACGTGTGGGTATTTATTCTCTGCCAGCCAAAACATAACAGTTTGTTTGAAGGTTAGTGTGATGACATCATCAGCATCTTCAGCTTAAAGGAATTTAAGTAAGTTTGGGGGAAAAGGACGAAAAGGGGAAAATACCATTAATTACTCTGAGTAATGCTATACCACCCGAATAGGTCAAGCATTGGTTTAAGCTCAAGGGGAGGGGTGCCGGGGTGGCTCAGGCGGTTAAGCGTCCGACTCTTGATGTCGGCTCAGGTCGCCATCCTGAGGTCGTGACATGAAGCCCTACATCAGGGTCTACGCTCTGCACCGACTCTGCTTGAGATTCTCTCTCTACCCCTCCCCCTGCTCGAGCCTGCTCTCTTTCCCTCTGTCTCCCAAATAAAGAAATAAGTCTTCAGAAGGATAAATAAAGGGGAAAACTGAAGCAGGGCGCGAGGCTTGAGGGTGAGGAGACGGGACGGTGAGGAAAGACCTCTGCAGGCAGATACCAGGGGAAGCAGGATGCGGTGGCCATGCGCGAGGGTGGCCAGGCGAGGGGCATTCCCGGCAGAGGGAAGATGGCTGGCAAAGGCCAGCTGTGTTTATGGTCCAGCAAGTGCTGAGCAACTAGCAGAGCCGGAGATTCAGAAGGTGAACATGACAGAGAGAGAATAAGGGAACCATGTGGGTCATCACGACAGTAAAGGAAGGAAATGATCCACGTGAATGGAACAGAGGTGTTTTATGACAAGGTCCACTGACTGGGGGCCAATGAGCAGATTATCAGAGGTCATTTTCTCCCTCATCTGTTCCACTCCATTCTACGCTTTGGATTTTGGTTTTGTCACATGTATGATTTTAATTCCGTGTCCGCTGTTACATGAAAACTGCCCTGGCCTTTGTTTCCCATTGAGAGGGGATGACAAGGAATGTGATTTAGGAAAGATTTACTTGTCGTCTTTTGTTGGTTCTCATTTATGCTGGTAAACACTTACGTGGACCTTTAAAAAAAAAGGCAATGGGATTGGGGCGGGGGGACTCCTGAGAGCCCCCTGAGAGCAGAGCGGGCAAAGGCTCTCTCAAGCTGCTCCTGGAAGGTGCGGAGGCAGTGCCCTTGTGGGGACGAGAAGAGGGCTCAAGGAGGTGGTGGGGGAAACAGCAGTGCCCTGAGGGGGAATGGAGTGCACACCTATGAGATGAGACCCTATGAGACCTATGGAGTGCACACCTATGAGACCCAGAAAGAAGTTGGCAGAGCGTAGGAGGGAGTCCTCTTAGAAGGGCTGTGAGAGCCTGGTAGAGTCAAACTCAGAGAGAAAGTGGGGCTGGAAACCCAGGACGGTGTCCCAGCTACACACACAAGGCCATCAAGACCACAAGTAAGGAGTTGATCCGAAAGAAAGCCAAGGAGAAGACAAGAGGGTCTATGATAGCCCGCCAGTAGGCTGCCCGGGATGGGCAGAAAAGTAGGAGAAGGGAGAGAGCGGTCAACGGTGGCCAAAGATGACGGGAGGTCTGATGAAAGCTGATGGAAAATATCCGGAGTGTAGCCATGCCAGAGATGATGCTGGGGACCAGCGCAAGAGCTGTTCCGAATTCCCCTGAGAAATTAAAACTCAGGCCAAAGAGCCTATGTTCAGAGAAGACTGATTATTTTATAGGAGGATAGCATCTGACTGTCAGTTCACCTGCGATGGTATTTCCACAATCAGAATCCTCTGGAAGAGTACCCCCACGTTTTGTTAAAAGGCCTAAATAACCCAGAAATGTGATGCCAGTAAAACTGACCTCTCGATTAGATGCTTAAGATCTGCAAGAGCCTATCAGCCGCGTCACGCTGGTAAGACAACGGGAATCCGACTCAGGAAGGTGGGTTAGCCAAACTGCACCAAAACCAGATCTGGTGCCCGGCCCTCCCCAACCTGGGGCCATCCTGTCCATAAAACCCGTGATTCCTGTGTCCTCTCTGAACACCTATCCCCCATTTGCGTGAGTCCTCCGTCCACGCCAACGTTCTACTAACGATCCCTACTTTTGCCCTTTCTAGCTCCAGATATCTGCCCCTTGAGTTCCTTCTTCCCTAAGTGCCTCCTGTTCTTTGTTGCCCACCAGGGGCACAGCACACGCAGCTCAGTCAGCAGGACGACGCGGACTCAAGGATCATAAAACGCCTTCCTTGACCCCTGAGCACCCTGGCCACTATGCTTCACAGCGATCGTTCCGTGCTCCCCACCTCCACAGGAGTGTCGGGCCAATGCCAGAAATTTCTGACCGTTCGTAATACCTGCACAGAGTACTGTACCATACGGGGCACTGGTAGAACATGCTCCGAAGAGCAAGAGAATGCTTTACAGAACATCGCCCATTTCATCTAGCCTAGCTTACGTGAGGCAACATTTTGTTGACCTAAAGTCAACTGATATAATATGCTCTTTTTTTTTTTTTTTAAAAACATGGGAAGCAAATGCTAGAGAAAGGCAATTATGTCTTATGGAAAGGGCTGTACAGGGAACATACTCTGAGAACATATTCCCATATTGCAAAGAAATGTCCGCTCTCTCAGATCAGGGCGCTAGGAATGGTCCCTCCATGGAGCTGGGCTGGGTCCTGGCTGGCCTTCTTCATGCTGCCAGCTAAGTCACTGATCTCCGTGTACACGCCGTTGCCACAGATTGGTCCCCTGTCTCTTGCTGGTGATAGGGTTTTATTGTCAGAATGTAGGAACGGTTTCAACAAATCATTTATCTACTGCCATTGAGTTGCTCTGCTATTTAGTCACTCCCACGATTAAGGGCTGAATGTTCAATCAACGTAAAGAAATTAAGCACCAAGGGGTCTGCCCATCAGCCATGTGACACCAGGCAAGTTGGGGACCTCCTGGGGCTCCAACTCTCTTATTAGCCAATGAGGATACCCACCTTGCCTATTTTATGAGGCTGTTAAAAAATTAAAGGAGTAACATCTGAGAAGGTACTCATGAAGAGGTGTAGAGCAGGACATTTTGAGAGGAACTCTGAAGAATTCAAATTTCTTGGCATAAAGAGAGGATCCAGGCTAAAATATTGATTACAAGGGCACCTGGATGGCTCAGTGGGTTAAAGCCTCTGCCTTCGGCTCAGGTCATGATCCCAGGGTCCTGGGATCGAGCCTGCATTGGGCTCTCTGCTCAGCGGGGAGCCTGCTTCCTCCTCTCTCTCTCTGCCTGCCTCTCTGACTGCTTGTGATCTCTGTCTGTCAAATAAATAAATAAAATCTTTAAAAATAAAATATTGATTACCTGTGTGCATAAATTCATTATATTTAAGTATATAACTTCTAAAAATACACAGCTGACCATCTAAGATGCTATAACCTAAACAGAAGTAAAGATATACATGTAATATAGATACACCGCTTTGGGGAAAAAGCATTAAAAAAAAAAAAAAAAAAAGAACCAGAGCCTTAGACTCAAATCTTATCATCTGGATAAAAACAAGCGGAGACCAAAATATAACACCACCAAAAACAAAAATAAAAGAAAAGCCAATAAATATCTTTCCTCTTTGTTACTCTCATTCAAAACTGCCTGGTCAGATAGAAAGAAAAATCACATTTCGTGCGGAAAGGCCTGCCCCAATTAAAATTCTGAATGTCTCCTACACCAAGAGCGCTGGTTTATTGGCAGATTATTAAGCCCTGGACCAATGTCACTCTGTTAGACCTGTATTAAAAACGTGGTTTATGTGGTGCAGGGTCAGATCAGTAAAGAGCTGTTAGCAGATGACAGGTTTGATTACCGCTGGCTGCAGGCAAGACGAATGGATCCCTGAGGAACAGCAGCACCGGCTGGTGGGACAGTTTGCTGGAAAGGTCAAGAACAGGCATGTCAGCATCAGGGGACGACGGTAAACAGAAAACACTACAAACTAGCTTTGAGGGGATCAAACTGCTGTGTGGGGACATCTCAAGGTCTATGTATCTCACCGTGTGGGTGAATAATAGTGAGCAGGGTAATAGGGAACAAACCAGCCCTGCGCTCACCTTCTCAACATCTCTTTGTGGAATCTGAGACTGGTATACCATCGATTTGACAAATCACTGGTGAAAAGTGCACCATCTCAGAGCACAATTATTGATGAATTAGTATTCTTAGGACTGGCATAAAACAATGTAGGGTTCGATATAACTGGTTACTTCTCTCACTTTCTATCACATATTTGTAAATCAACTGCCTAACAAATATTATCAAGAAGATTGTGACGGGATACACTTACGCCACAGTAATTCACCACTTAGCAAAACCACAGTCCTGTTTCTGGTTTTATGTAACTCTTGGTTGACTAGTATTAGTTCTTACCTTGATTCTTCAGATTCCGTCTCATCAAAAGATCTAGAATTTTTTTTTTAAAAGAAGAGGAAGACCATGTCAGTTGGGTAAAGGTTGTTGCAAGCCAAGGAAAAAAGAGTCAGTAGTCTTAAAGCTCTAAATTGGGAAACATTAGGAAAAGAGAGGTGTCTTGACAAAGCCACAGCATGACTGATACCTCATTCTAGGCTTGACCTTAGCCAAAAGGCCGAGAAGCGATTGTGATGCCTCATTCTAAAGAATCTAAGACCGCCATATTCTTGAACTTCAGTTTTCTTTTTCTTTTTTTTTTTAAGATTTTATTTATTTATTTGACAGACAGAGATCACAAGTAGGCAGAGGTAGGCAGAGAGAGAGGAAGGGAAGCAGGCTCCCTGCTGAGCAGAGAGTCTGATGCGGGGCTCAATCCCAGGACCCTGGGACCATGACCTGAGCTGAAGGCTGAGGCTTTAACCCACTGAGCCACCCAGGTGCCCCTGAACTTCAGTTTTCTTGAGGATCACTTACAAACCCTATGGTTTTACTTTCGGGCTTCTATAATGGAGATAAGATTTCACTCAGTCATTCCTAAAATCTCTTCTTAAAAACATTCCCCAAAGTCCTAGCAAATGCACTTCAAGTCAGAACAGGCCATGCGGACAATGCCTATTATTTGGTGAGCTCAGTATATAATTCTCACTGTGGGGTGAGTGGAAAGTGGCCTTGAGCAACACTGCCAGGGTGGGGGGGGGCGGGTTGGGGGGCTGAGGGTCTGCAGCCTTTCCTCCCGTAGACGGCCGGGTTTTAACCCGACGCTGGGTTTGGTCCCCATGACTGTCTTGTAGTTAGTGTGCATCCTTCGGGGGGCCCTGGAGGCGGCAGGAGGATGAACAAAACCCCCTCCCCTGCAAGAGTTTGCAGAGTCTTTGTAATGATGTGTTTCCCTATAAATGGATTTGATATGTCAGGGGTGATGCTGATGGCCTTCAGAGGCCAGCTCAACCTGAGCCAGGTGCCCAGAGCTGGGCAAGGGGCTTGTTTCAGAGTTCATTCTTTAGAAGAACACTTCCCAACTGATGGTGATAGCAAATGTCTGGTTCCTGGGACACAGGGACTGGGATCTACAGCCCCACATGAGAAGGTCCTGTGGGAGAGGCAGAAAGACAGCAGAGAAGAGAGCTCACGTGGGAAAGCCTGGGCTCTGCCAGCTACAAGATGAGAGATTTGGGGAAAGACACTTAATTCCTGTATCTCAGCTTGCTCAGGTCAACAATAAGGGAGTTGGCTAACATCATCTCCAAGGTCATTCACAGCTCTTAGAGATGTGACTGCACATGCATGGGTACCCACAAAAAAATATATTAGTCCCTCCATAGGCTATCTAGATTCAAAATTCCCACCATGTAACATCACTCCAGGAAGCAGCATATTTTAATAAGTCAATTCCTTAAGTCTAAACCTGAGCCTGCCATTTGGCCGCAATATACCGGTGAAGACCACAGAGGAATTCCTTTGATCACAGGCAGGGGGCGAGTGAGTGCTGTCCCAGCATAGAGAACGGGTGTGACCAGGCTGGCCCTTCCAGCACCACCCAAGGGTCGGGGGCGGTGGTTATTGGTTAGGCCAACTAGCAACTGTAGAGTAGTTTCAGATACATGTCCGATAGGGAAACAACGCCTCTTACCCACAACTCTCTGCCTTTGGTAGCGAGGGCAAGTGTCGCACGTTTAGGAAATCGAGGAACAGTTTGGGAAGCTCTTCGTTTTCCAAAATGACAGCCTGTGAAAGGAAAAAAGAGAATCTAAAAAGCGAAATTTACTAAGCAACCAATAATCAAATGAACTATGTCAAAAGTCATGACCACCCATCTCAGTTCTTACCAGCATCATTATCACAGTCTGTAAGGGTTGGTGGGGAGTGGTCCCCATCTCACCCACCAAGAATTCAGGAGACAGCCACACTCTTCAGTGTTCCCAAATACTCTTTTTTATCTATCCTCTCACCCAATCAGCATTTATGGATCATCTAGCACACATCAGATGCTGACTAGGAGGAAAGACAACTGGCCACCAGGTAGACAGAATTCTTGCCTTCACGGAGATTCTGATGAGAGGATTTTAAAAAACTGGGAGCATCAATAATACTGCTAAGAAACGTGCATCAAATTTTCCTTACTGGGTGATTAAGTGGTCTGGGGTGTGTGTGTGTGTGTCTACAAGAGACCACATTGTTTAAAAAATACTACGCATGGCTTTTTTAACTGGAAGATTTAGCCAAGATCCCTCGGCTATCACCGCTTTCGGCATTTGGATCAAGTGACATTTATGGCCATTTGGACAGCTCCACTTAAAGGGTCAGTAATAACTCTACCCCTAAGTGTAAATCAGCATATATACTTAAAAAAAAAATCTATACAGTTCTTCCATTTAGGGAGCTCTGTTAAAGCTCTGTTAAAGAGCTGGGACAATGGCATAACCATGCCTGCTCTTGGCTCTCCGAGTCACGCAAGTGCAAGTGCATTTTCATGGGTATCTGTTTTCAAAAAAGAGAGCCACAGTGTATGTTCTGATTAAACTGTCGCCCCTCTCTCCCACCACTCTCCCCCACCTTTTTTATTATTATTAATTTTACGAAGACCATGGAAAAACCATCGAAGATTGCATGATAGTCTCTGAAAGTAAGAGAATTATTTTCAAAGGTGATTTCTATCATTTACCGTGGTCCTCCTCCCACGTGTTGTTTAAAGAACGATGAGAAGGGATGCTGAGGCGTCACCCACACCGTGATCAGGCACAGCTATGCAGTGTGATGCATGAGGCACCAAGGACAAAAGGTCAAATTATGTATATTCTGATATATGTGATTCTATATAGCCTATTGCTTTCTGTCATAATTTACATACTGAGTGGTCCCATTTCTAGCGGAGTTATAAAATAGTTACCCAGTTCAGGACATGTGAATGGAATGAGGGAGGCAGGCTGAGCCCCAAGCTACACCAGCGCTCAAGCCTCCTGCTGTTCAGTTTCTGGAGAGGAGGCATCTGAAAACCCAGCTCTGTCTCAGTCTCTTCCTATTCCTTACCTAGCTGATTGTACCCACTGAGGCTTAAGGAAAGGCAATAGAAGGTAGGGAAACAAAAAAAGTTCATAAAATAGAAAAAAGCTCTTCTTCCTAGAGGTATGCTTTCATTACTATTTTCGCTGACCTTCTGAATTTCCATCTACTCGGGGAAATTTGGAGGGTGCCCATAGGTCATCATTTCAGTGCCCACAACTGGATTGTAAGAATCACTGTATATATGAAGCTCCAGGGAATTTTTGTCATAAAGTAAGTTGTAATGATTATCTCCATGTTTCTTGACATCGTTTACGAGAATGACACAACACCTATTTGAATAATAAAGCTTAATGTTGTAACAAAAACAGAGCTGTTCACCTAGGCAATAGTTTTAATTATGTGTACAAGTGGCAGCTTTCAGATTAAAAAAAAAAGGGGGGGTAACACTCTTATCTCCACCCCCACCTTTTAAAATAAATTAAATCAATAACAAGTGTGGGACACTTTTAATGACCTGAACTACTTAATTTCCAGGATCCTTAGACATGTCATCCATCACTGCAGTATGGAGGAAGACATCTCTTGAGTGTTCAAGGGGTTAGTTTGGTTTTATTAATGCAAGATTTAGGGAATTTTAACAAGGTGAATTGTTTATTTGCCTTGACAGATTGGCTTACAATGCACTGGCTACATCTACAGCATGATCATTAATGACAAAAGACAGGCAAAAAGCTGTTTACACTGCAACACCAGGATGGGAATTAATCCTGTCCAGCCTCCCTGAACAGAACACTCCAAAGAGATGATCACATTTTTTTAGGTAAGACATACTGGCAAAAAAAAAAAAAAGAAAAAAAAAAAAGAATATAGAAAACTCCAGAAATTTGTGAGCATTTTCATTAAATGTTCCCTGAAATTCTCAAATATTTTTCATAAGAGAGTCACCAATATGGATTTCAGGATTTACAGTTCGACTCTATTTATTTATTTGAGAGAAAGAGAGAGACCGAGATAGAGAGAGCACAAGCTGTGTGGAGAGGGAAAAGCAGGATCCCCACTGAGCAGGGAGCCTGCCCTGGGGCTCAATCACAGGAACCTGGGATCATGACCTGAGCTGATGGCGGACACTTAACTGACTGAGCCACCCAGGCGCCCCATCTTCTCCTGTTTCTTGAGAAGCTTTCCCTCAAGAAGATCCCTCCCTCTTAAAGCTGCACCCTGGTCCACTCCACCTTCTTGGGACCCTGGTCTGGTCTAACTGACCAACTTTATCTAACAGGTAAATAAATATAAACATATAATAAACAAAAATTTATATAAATAAATATAATAAATACAAATATATATAAATTATATTTTGAATATCAAATCCTATTTCCCCTTTGTCTTAGCTTGCGTACCGTGATTTTTTTATTAACCTTCACTCGTTAGTCATTTCCATTTTTTAGAGGCAAGATGGTGTAGTAGGAAGTACAGGGCTTTAGAGCCAGAGCTGGGTTCCCACACCCCCCGGCCACCTCATGGGGTCACTGTGAGGGTAAGACAATGTCTGCAAGAGTCTCTGGTGCACACTTAACATTCAATAAATGTTCACTGTTTCCTTACAATCTCTTCCTTCTATCAATCCTCAACAGCCTATTTTATCGGTTTTGGAAGTTTGGATTATTGTCCATCCAGCAAACAGGGCTTCCTAATCCTCTATGATTCATGGATCCCTTTGGAAAATGGATAAAAGCTGAGAATCTCGCTGGCTGAAAAATATGCATCCATACATAATTGTGCTGACGGTGGCAGAGGGTTCAAGAGCCCTGACAGCCCCGCCAAGGACACCTGCTTTCAGCTCCAGTGCGGCAGCAACACTGCTGGGCACCCTCTTTGCTTGGCCTGGCACCTGAAGCCCTCACTGCCCGGCTTGTGCTGGATGCCAGCCCCCCAAAGCCTTCCCGTTGTAGTTTTCTATCTCTCTGTCAATTACAACCCCACTGGAGTATGCGGTGCTTTGTGACTGGAATTCATTAGTGTTTTCAGCCCCGGGCTGTGGTTGAAAATATGTGTCTGGCCGGAGGGTACCCGGCTACAGGATTCTTTCTGGTAGGTCAAAAATCTACTACTGCATTGAATTTAGACAGTCAATCATATTCATGGCTGCTGTGCCTTCCATATGAGATTCTAGAATTTAACAATTGGTAGGGTTGACGGTTCCCAAAGTTAGCAAAACATGGAGAAAATATTATTTAAACTCTATCACTGCCAGGGGGCCCCTAGGTGGCTCAGGTGGTTGAGCAACTGCCTTTGGCTCAGGTCATGATTCTGGAGTCCCGGGATTGAGTCCCGCATTGGGCTTCCTGCTCAGCGGGGGGTCTGCTTCTCCCTCTGACCTTCACTCTCTCATTCTCTTTCTCTCTCTCTCAAACAAATAAAATCTTTTAAAAAAAATAAAATAAAATAAACTCTATCACTGCCAGGTCAGAGTCCAGCCGAGGAGGCACAAGTACCCTACATTTATTAGAAGAGCATTCGGAAACACAGGGCAGTGATGGGTCCCACACTGTCTAATCAATTAACTAATGGTAGAGTTCTGACACTAGATCCAACTTTGGACCCATGGCTGGGCGACTAATTTATATAGTAAAACATCAGAATTCAAAATGAATATGACCAATTCGAGAAAAAAAAATATCGGAAAAAAATCCCATTAAATTAAATTTTACAGGTGTTAAGTCCTGGGTCAAATACTACATGAGGCAGAATTAAGTACCCAGGCATGAGATGAAGAGTAGCTGTTTATATACAAGTGTTGTTAGTCTCAAGCGGTAGGTCAGCAAGAAGTGTTGCTTCCGGAAGGTATAGAAAAATGAGCTGAGCAATCCTCTTGCTCCACTTAATGCAATATTATCTGGCCCCCAAAGAAAGAGAAATAAGAATAAATGCAGTAAGGCCTACAGGGGAGCAATGAAAATGAAAAGAAAATTCAAAATCGTTTCTGTTAGAAAAGGTCACCCCAACAGCAGGTACTGAGCATGGAATGAGGTGTTCCAGGGCCCAGGAGCATGGTCTTTTAGTTAACTAATGTTTTTTAAGGAGAGTGGAGATTTTCAAAGCTGTTGGGACAGTAAGAAAGGAATGTCCTAGCCAGCAAAGAAGGTGTCTATATCTAACTGAAGCCATTGCAAAAAAACAAGAGAAAGTCTCCCATGTACGGGAAAACCTGCATTGCAAGAGCTTCTAGAAAAGCCTGGGTTCTGGGTTGCCTGAATGCCTCAGTCGTTAAGCATCTGCCTTCAGCTCAGGTCATGATCCCACGGTCCTGGGATCGAGCCTGCATTGGGCTCTCTGCTCAGCTGGAAGCCTGCTTCTCCTTATTCCACTCCCCCTGCTTGTGTTTCCTCGCTTCCTGTTGTCTCTCTCTGTCAAATAAATACATAAAATCTTAAAAAAGAAAAAAAAAAAAGCTTGGGTTCTGAATGTCTTTTAGTTGCTCTTTGATACACATGCACATGGGATAAGCGAGAGAGCGAACAGAAGAATGCATCAAAGAAATTTCCATGTTTATCCCTTGGGAGTAATGTAGACTAAAAACCAGGTTATTATTATTATTATTATTAAGATGCACATGAGAAATGGGGTTAAATAAAGAACTGTAACAAGTGTGTGATATACTATATAACAGACTGTTATTACTGTATCCAACTCTGATAAACATTAAAACTAGGAAACGGTAC